CCAGAACTATATTGAACAAGAGTGGTGATAGTGGGCATCTTTGTCTTGTTTCTGATTTTAGCATGAAAGTTTTCAGTTTTTGACCATTTAGTATGACATTGGCTGTTGGTTTTTCATAGATATAGGCTGAGCAATTTAGATTCTATCTCAAAAAAAAAAAAGTCTTAGGTAGTATCCTTGCTTAGTGTGCACAAGGGCCTGAATTTAATCCTTAGCACTGCAAGATAAATAGATTGATAGTAAAAAAATATGGCAGACAAATAGCAAGAAGGATACATCATGTTCCTTTATAAGATTGAATAGCTGGACAGAGTAGCATGTGTCTGTAATCATAGCACTCTGGGAGGCTAAGGCAGGAAGATCCAAGTTCGAGCCTAGTCTGGGAAATTTATGAAGACCTTGTCTCAAAGCAGTTTTTAAAAGGCCTGAGAAATATAGCTGTCAACATTCTCAAATAGATCTATTGACTGATTTGAACTGAATGCTAATTAAATTCCCAACAGCTTCTTAAAAAGATAGTTATAAGACAGTTCTAAAAGGTATCTGAAAACTCAAAGGATTTAGAATAGCCATGACAATGGTGAAGAACTTATACTGATATCATTGTTCACTAAAGAGATACAGTGATCAATACAGTATATGTTATTGGCAGAAGGATAAATAAATTAACAGAACAGAGCACAGAAACAGATCTGCATATATATGTTCAGTTGATTTTGTGGGGCTGGTGGTAAGGATTGAACTCTGGGTCTTTGCGCTGAGTTACATTCCCAGCATTTAAAAAATTTTTATTTTGAGATGAGATTTCACTAAATTAATAAAATTGCCCAGGCTGGGCTTGAACTTGTGATCCTCCTGTCTCAGCCTCCCAAAGTGCTGGGATTACAGGCGTGTATCACTATGTGCTGCTGTTCAGTTAATTTTTGACAAAAATACTAAAGCAAGTCAAGGGGAAGTGGCTCTTTTTAAATAAGTTGTAACATCATTTAGAGAAAAAATAGACATTGACCTTTGCTTCATAGTATATGCAAAAATGAATTTGTGATGAATCATAGCTCTAAATGTGAAAGTAAGTATCACAAAGTTTCTAGAAGAGATCAGAAAATTCTCATTATCTTGGGTGCAAAAAGACTTCTTACATAGTACTGAAATGCACTGTACATGAAAGATAAAAATTGTAAGTTGTACTTCATAGGATTAAAATAACCTACTCATCAAAAGAAACCATTAATAAAGTAGTAAGGGCAAATTGCATATGGGGAGAAAATGTTCACAGTATGCATACAAAGAACTCATATATAGAATATGAAAGAAATTCCCTTAAAACAGTAATTAAGTCAATTCAATTTCAAAAATGGGCAGAAGATTTGAACAGGCACCTCGTGATGGCCTCATGGTAAATTCTGCTAGACAATTGAATGATATATCTGAATTGTTAAGAAGTAGGGCTGGGGATTTAGCTCAGTGGTTCCACCGCCTGCCTCGCAAGCTAAGGACCTGAGCTCGATCTCCGGTACCAAAAAAAAAAAAAAAAAAGGAAGTATATGAAAATATGATCAACATCATTAATCACCAGGGAACTAAAAATCAAAAGGATAATGCAATGTCACTTTATAGTTGAAGAGCTAAAATTAACAAAGCTGATGGTACTAAGTCTTGGAAAGAATGTGTACCAACCACAACTCATACATTGCCGGTGGGAATTTAAAATGCTGCAAATACTGTAAAACTTTTTGCCATCTCTAATAAAAATACACATATCCAGTGGTAATTTCTTACTCAGATATTGAACAAAAATGAATTCATAGATTGACAAAAAGACTTGAACTAAAGTGTTCATGGTTTCTTTTTTTACAATTGATTGCCCCAAGAATACCTCAAATGTCCATCAGCTGGAGAATGGATAAACAAACTATAGTGTATAGAATAGTGGAAAACTACTATGTAATAATAAGAAAACCCTACTGATACATACTCCAGTATTGATAAAGCTAAAAAATATGGTGACTGGAATAAGCCAGTATGAATACCTTCTCTATTATCCCAAACTAAATTTATGGTGATTGAAACCCAAATCGTGGTTGTGGATAATGGGGTGACTACTGGGAGACAGGTAGCTTGATGTGACTGGAAAAGACCATGAAGGAATTTTCTTTTCTTTTTTTTTTTTTGGTACCAGGAATCGAACTCAGGACCTTGCGCTTGTGGCGGAACCACTGAGCTAAATCCCTGGCCCCAAAGTTTATTTTATTTAATTAAATTAATTAATTAATTTATTTTTGTTTTGATACTGGGGATCAAACTTGGGTCCTTGTGCTTGCACAGCAGACGGCAAAACCACTGAGCTAAATTCCCGGCCCTTTAAAGGAATTTTCTGAAGTGACAGAATACGTTTCTTTTTTTTGTTTTTTTTTCCTTAAATTCTTTTATTGGTACATTTTAGGTATACAATACATTTACATTTCTCAATGGGAACTTATACCTTTACATGATGTATCTTGATTCTTATTTTTTCCCCATTCCCTGCTCTCCCTTCACTCCCCCTTCCCCATTTACATAGACTTTGTTTCCATTTTTTCCATTTCTCATAATTTTTCCTTTCCCTTCTTTCCTGTCCCCTACCCCTCCCACTTCCCCTACCCCTTTGGACCTTACAAAATGTTTGTGATCTTGACCTGGTCAATCGTTATGTGAGTTTATTATTCATCTATCAAAAGTCATGGAGGTGTGCACTTAAGATCTGTGCACTTGGCACTTCTGAGTTATATTTCATTACCATATTTAGGAGAAATTTCAAGTAAGCCACAATTTATAAGAGACAAATTTCATCATTTTGAGAACAGGTCTAGAGTAGTGTTTCGTCCTAAATTTGATCTCCGTTAGCTCTTATTTAAGGCTGGTCTCATTGTATTTTATTTACAAGTTGCTACAAAGTTGTCAACAGACCAGGAAATTCCTAGCATTTACAATGACAGTGTTCCCTGAGAGATTTCACTTTCACTTTTAGATCTAGATTCCTGAGCAGAATTTTTCTTTCACCCATGCTAGGCTAGCACTCTACCACTGAGCTACATCACTAGACCTGGGTAGAATTTTTATATATAAAAATTTTTTAAGTGAGAAAGGATTAGGCTGAAATTGAAGCTTTTACAGCATTCTTGTAGACAAAGCTCCCATCAACAAAACATGAGTATCTTCAAGGGAAAAATACTTTTGGTTACATAATAATAGGACATTGGTGCAAACACATTTATATTAGGAGTTTATCAGAATTCTCAAAGCCGGGAGTGAAGCGAAAACCCTCTTCCTCCACTTGCACACACATTGATTGGCACTATAAGAAAACTGCCAAAGTAGAAGTAATAATGGCTTTGTGTCTACCCTGACATTGTTAAGAAAATTAACATCTCCTTAATTATTGTTGTCTCTAAGGCAGGAGGATCCCTTGAGCCCAGGAGCTTCAGGCCAGCCCAGGCAACATAGAAGACCCTTGTCTCTCCAGCCCACTCTCCCCGAAAGGCAAGGGAATACAGATATTTTTCACAGTTCTTCTGGTGAGTATATGACCAAAACTGTGTGAGGACCTCAAAATGTTTTCAGTAATCTCCAGTGAGTTGAAAATGGCTTTGAGAAAGTCTTGAACTAAGGAGGCTCAAAAGTGGACTGAAATCTCCCTGTGACGCATAAGCTTAGTCTTTCTGATGTAATTCCAACTGGAAATGTAGCCAAATCCACCCAGACCAGAAGACACCCAGTACAGTCTGTTTTGTTCTGAATGTGCTGGATTCCAATTCCACAGGATAATGAAATCCAGAATAACTTCATGGGATATGTCTTTGATTTACTGGAAGATAGAAAAATCACATGATGAACTCTGCCAATCACCTTGGCACAGTTACCTTGGGACAGTTGGCCTTAAAGTTGCTTAAATTTACTACTCAGAGAGAGATTGTGGAGTAAAATAGAGCAATTCAGTTAGACTCAAATAAGTCAGGCTTCTGTCAGAAAACGTTAATGAAATTTAGAGACCTCCCCTGTAAGATAAAGGCTCTAGAAGGAATTTTGGTTTTTCCATCTCAGTACATCCCAGGACTTTCACACTGAGCTCCAGACTAGCCCTTTTTATTTTGAACAATGTCTCACTAAGTCACCAAATTGCCCATGCTGGACTCAAACTTGGGGACCTTTTGCCTCAGCCTCCCAGAGAGCTGGGGTTACAGGCCTGACTCCTTTCTTGATCAAAACAAAAACTGAAAATAATCAGAACGATTTAAATTTTTTTCAATTTTTTTTTAATGTTGAACTTTCTTTAGCTTTAGAAGAAAAGAAAAAAAAAATCTAGCCTTTCACCTGTTAAGTACCGGGCGGATGGAGACTAGAGGATGGGGGTTCTGGCCTCTTCCCGTCAGGCTGACCGATGATCTCTATATCTGTTGTCAAGATTTCCTCTGACCCACGAACCAAGAACAGAGGTCTTTCAGTAAATGCCACGATAACACGCTACGGTTGAGTCACGCCTGTAGGGTCATGGAAATCCCCTAATGGGCCTGCCAGGGGAAGCGTGTGTGGTTAGTACCGCTGGAGTTCCCCTAAGTCTAAAAGGAAAGCACCAGCGCACATGCAAACCACCGGGAGAAGGGCAGGACGTCAAGCTTTTAAAGGCAGCAGGGGACTCGGCCCACAGCGGACAGGCCTGGCGACAGGTGTGAAGAAGACGCGGCTCGACCTTGCTGGTGCGCCGCGGCCGCTGGACAGCGCTGCTGTGAGGGTACGCGCGTGCGTGTGCGCTCCTCGCGCGCGGGCCTGCGGCTGGCTGCGGGGCGGGAGGGCCTGGCGGTGGCGGATCCGGGGCGCGGGGGGACGCGCGGTTACAAGCACCGCGTAGAGGTTGGTTCCTGCTTGCACGGGGCGGTTAGGGGCCAGCACAAAAGTGGTTCCAGGTGCGCCCGGGCGCCTCTTCCCCTGGCGCGCTGTCCCGGGGAGGGTGACCCTGAGGGCTGGCACCGCGCCGTCTTCGCCCACCCCCACTTCCCTTCTGCCTTCCTGCTAAGTGCTCAATTTCCATTTCACTTTTGGGGTGAGCCTGTGGAATGTTGGAGCCTTGACGTTTTAATTTGATTGTCAGTGTTACTGGCCCTTTGTAGGTGCTAGATAAGCTTCAGGACAGAGCTTAAAGCAGAGACGTGTGGTGTAGCGAGGGCTCAGTAAAATATTTAATGATCAAATGGAATAGGGCTCCCAAGTAGTGGCAGGAAGACAGCAGGTATGTGTGACAGCAGATATGTTATTTTCCTGATGGACACCCAGCATTGTTCCGTAACCAGTCAGTAAATTGCTGGAGGTATTTACCTGATGCTAAAGTAACAATAATATTAAATTTGTATTTGTTGGTAACAGTGTTGCTACCTGCTATAAGCTAGGTTGCCCTCTGAAGATTTTACATGTATTTTAATGTTTAAATTTTGACTCTCTTAAGCAAGAACCAAAATGTTTCCATTTGACAATAAGGAAACTGAGGCTCATGGAGACTTATTCGCCCAAGGTCAAACTCCTGGTAAAGAGGGACTAATATGTACTGGAAATCCAAACACCTGACTTTAAAACCTGATGTTAAAGCATCACCAAGCACACTCTCTGCTCATGAATGTAAAGCTGATGTCCTTACTGCTATGTAAATGAGGATACTGTTTCCATGCAGGACTCAGGCAAGTCTGCTGACATTTACTTCCCCAACAGAAAGTCCGCTATGCCAAGCTCTGTGGATGTCACAGGCAGGGAGGCTGGTACAAAAATAAAACACTGTTCCTGTTCTGAAGGAGTCACAGGCTAGGAAGAGGCAGAGAGGAAAGACATTCTTACCCTCCAGGGTGGCAGAGATGGACATGCTGAGTGCCCCAGAGAGTAGGGACAGTCAGCTGCTCTGGTGTCAAGTAAATTGCCCACCAGAAATGGTAGAGTAAGGAGAGGAGATTGCAGACCTGAGCCCATCTGAGAAGGAACCACTAGAAAGGAAAGAGGAATTCTATGACAGTTGAATTGGAGAAGCCAAGGGAATGGAGCGTTTCTAAAAGGAAGTCTGCCTCAGTTACAGTTTCAAATTTTTTCATTGGTTTTGTCAAAGAGTTTTTGGTTTTGTTTTGTTTTGAGTTTGCAATACTGGAGATTAAACCCAGGATCTTTGCACTGAGCTACATCCTCAGACCTCTAAAGAAAAAACAATTTTTTAAAAAGATTTTGAGACAAGGTGTCTCTAAATTGCTAAGTTTTCTAGGCTGGGCTCAAACTTGAGATCCTCCTGTGTCAAACTCCCATAGCACTGGGATTACAGGAGTGTGCCGCTACACCAGTTTAATATTTTTTTTTTTTACTGCCAGTTTAGTTTTAGTTTTAGTTTAGTTTTAATTTTTTGAGACAGGGTCTCTCACTTTGTAGTCCAGGCTGGCCCTGAACTCACTATGTAACCCAGCTTGACCTAAAATTTGGACTCCTCCTGGCTCAGCCTCCTGAGTGCTAGGATTACAGGTGTGCACCATTGTCCCTGGCTGAGGGTATTTTTAAAGGATGCTGGCTTAAGGAGTAAGTGGGAGTTGGGGAAGTGGAAACATTCACTATGGACACAAGTTCATTTTGTTTGGCTGCATGAGATACAAGAAAGTTGGTAGAGTGGAAAGCAGGATTGAAAGACGATATTTGTTTGCTTGATTTCATTTGAAAGCTGAGGTAGAGTTCAGCATGATTGTTATGTGGAAGGAAAAGGACCAGGAGAGAGTGAGAGTTGAGGAAGTGAAGGGAGATAGAAAAGAGTAAGAGCAAGATTTCTGAGGTAATGGGAGAGGATGGGATCCCATAAAGAGGCAGCAAGTAAGTTGTGAGCAAAAAGCATGGATCCCAGAATGTGAAAGGTTACTGCTCAGCGATGTCTCTGAGAATGAAATCCAGTGAAGTGAAAATGGGGATAGATGCTGAAGGGCTGCATGGGGAAGGGTTCGGAAGCTGACCCGGGTCAGGTGGAATTACTACGGGACTAGGAAGTGGAAACTCCACCGAAGGTCCCAGCTGCCAGGGTTCATCATTCAGAAGGTGAGGTGGTGGGAATGGCTAAGACAGAGGTTAAACTTTCATTTTGTTACTTTTGATAGGCACAGTTATTACAGTGATTTTATGCTCCTCCTGATTCTACTGTCAAAGAAACAATAGAGCTCAGTCACTGATAAATAGCAAGTAGCAGTCACTGTAGCAGGGAGCCAGAGTACAGTGCCCAAATGGGGAGCGCGTGCCCTTTCTAAAGAGTACGGCTGTCCCTGGCTCTATGTGATTGCTGCTGTTCGAGAGCACAGAGCCAGTGCTGCCAGCTATTCTCACTTCAGAAGTGCGAAATCTAGAATGCTATGGGAAGTCGCACATTTAAAAATGTTAGTAATTAACTATAAGATTTTAAAATAAGGATAGTAGTGCATGCCTATAATCCGAACACTCTGGAGGCTGATGCAGGAGGGTCTCCTGTTTGAGGCCAGCACAAGTTATGTAGTGAGAACCTGTCTCAGAAAACAAAAACAAACAAGCAAAACTGTGCATGGTGCACACTCAGGATGCTGAGGCAGGAGGATTGTTACCAAGAGGGTAGCCTGAGTTACATAGCAAGTTCAAAGCCAACCTCAGCTACAAGACCTTGTCTCAAAAAGAAGAAAAAAAGATTAAAAAATACTATGGCCTGACAGGTGTGGTAGTGCACACCTGTAATTCCTGTACTTGGGAGGCTGAGGCAGGAGGATCGCTGTGAGTTTGAAGCCAGCCTGAGCTGTATAGTGAGTTCAAAGCCAGCCCAGATTACATAGTGAGACCCTGTGTCAAAAAAAAAAATATATATATATATATATACATACGTATATGTATGTGTATATATATATACTGGCCCAAGAAAAAATTTATTTAGTAATCTGGTGAAATTCAAATAAGGTATGTGGATTAATTAACAGCATTGTATTCATGTTAATTTTTGTTTTTTATAATTATACTAGGGTAATATAAGATTAATTTTGAAGAAGGTGACTGTAGAGTTGTGTTTCTTCTAAGCATAAATTAATTTTTTAAAAGTTTAAAAATTGGCAAACTACTGTAATCCAGTTTTGTGGTGGCCAAATATAAGATGTCTACTGGTCACCAGTTTGAAACCTTTAGTCTTTGTATGGGATTTCCTGGCCCTTCGGTGCCTAGTACAGTTCTCTTTTCTGTTCTGTTCTATTCTTTTTTCTGTGTGTGTAGCTGGGGATTAAACCCTGGGCTTTGGGCATGTTAGGCAACCAGTAGGCTATATTTTCAGCCCGAATTACTATAGCATCTTGTATGTGGTAGACAATTAATCAACACTAATACTCTATTTTGGAGAAAATAGTTTTAATTTTTTTTTAGTGTTTAGTTTATACATACATGTGAAAGCAAAATCAATCACCACTATGAACAGAAAAAAATTCCCTTTTAAATTCTATTCTGTCGTGGGGGAGGGGTACCAGGGGTTGAACTTAGGACGTTGTGCTTGTGAGACAAGAGTGGTGCCACTGAGCTAAATCCCCAGCCTTTAGTCTGTGATTCTTTAAGGTAGTAAAACTGGTGCTAGCACGCAGCTGAGGCTTCTGGATGGTAACAGCTAAAAGATTTCCTGATGTGCTGCAGGACTCACAAATAAAATCTAATTACATACTACTTTGTCCCCCACCTGCCACCTCTGAAAGCAGCTTTAAGGGCATCTTTGCCGATGATGCTTTGTGTGCTTGAGTCCCACATTGTAGACTGACTGAGAAAGAGATCAATTGATAAGTCCACACAGACAGGTGAACACATAGTGCCTGGAGAAAGCGTTTTAAGAAAAAGATAATTGTGTTACCTTTGTAAATTATTTGATTTTTAAAACTCTCTCTCTTTCTTTTTAAACAGGCTTACAAAGGACGAAAACTATTCTACTACTTCTAGGCTTTTTTTCAGTTTCTTCTATAAATCAAAACACTTCAAAATGGAGGCCTAAAACTCTAAAAAGGGACTTAGTCTAATCTTGGGAGGTAGTTTTGTGCATGAAAAAACAAATTAATAGCTAATTGGATTTTTTAGTTTAACGTCCAAACAATGTTAATTTAAAAATATAATTATATGAGATATAACTGTAATGATTTTGATTTTCAATTTGATTTGTGGAAGTAAAGCGATTATAGTGGAGGCATCTTATTGAAGCACTCTTTTCACAGTTGGCTGGGCAGTCTCCCACACACTTCTCTATAGAGCTGAAAAAAGTATGTGCATTTGGTAAAGATTTAAAAATGAGTGACAGTTACCCAGAACAAAGAGATGATCAACCTTCTCCAAGATTAGAGAAATATTCAAATGAAGCCTTTGACATATTAAAGGACTTCTGCGATGACAAAGAATGTCAAGATCAAAAGTTTTTGATAGATAGCACAAATTTAGAAAAAGCAAAAAAGGTAAACATGAGGATTAGTGAAGAAATTATCCACTGTGTACAAGTTTAAAATTTATTTTGTTCAAATCGGCTGTTATCTCTGGGGATGATGAACCTGAGAATGGATGGTTCAGTGGTTACATCTGGGGAAATGAACAAATTTACTCAGAAAGAAAACTTATATAAAGAAAAATTTTGTAACAGTGTATAAAAGTTTTGGCCATTGAAGGGAATAATAAAGTTAGGCACAATAACTTATTGTAAGGGAAGTAATCATTGGTAACAAGCTGTGATGTTTCTCTTGCTACCTGGAAACCAAGTGTTGAAATCGGCACCATAGTTGCAATTCACTGGTAGGAAAAGCACAATGACTTGTCTATTGGTAGTTGCTAGAACAATGGTAGAACATAGCTTTCCATCATGAAAATCTAGCTTTGTGAGTCAGACACCTGATATGCAGGTTGAGTGAATGCTATGGGGATGCATCCTTGAGACCTGGAGAAGCTGACCTACTCCTGAAGATATCCAAAACAAAATGGCATACTGATGACCTAAAACACTTTATGCTTCCATGCAGGATTTTAGTTTTCATCACAGGTTATTATGTAGCATCATATGTACATTGTACATATAAAGATTATGCAAAGGTACACTTGTACATAATTGTCCCTTAAAATATAACTGTATAGGATTTAGAACCTCACCAAGCTGAAACCCTAAATGTACAGAAGAAATTAAAGAGTTCTCATTTTTGATGTTCAGCTTAGTAGTCACACTGATTAAATCAAAAGCCATGCACAAAACTACCTCCCCAGAGAAAGACTGGTCCCTTTTCCTCCCCATCCACTTCATTATGAATGTAGTAGAAAATAGCCCCTTCTTATCAAGTTTGATGAAAAGTGCCAACATGTTTGAGTTGAAGTATGACTTTTCATGTGAACTCTACAGAATGTCCACATATTCAACTTTCCCTGCTGGTGTTCCTGTCTCAGAAAGGAGTCTTGCTCGTGCTGGTTTCTATTACACTGATGTGAAAGACAAGGTCAAATGCTTCTGTTGTGGCCTGATGCTGGATAACTGGAAACAAGGAGACAATCCTATAGAAAAGCATAAAAAGTTATATCCCAGCTGCATCTTTGTTCAGAATCTAACTTCAGTTAACAATTTGGAAGCTAACTCTCAGCCTTCTTATTCTTCTTCAGTAACAAATTTCACACATTCACTACTTCCAAGTTTGGAAAATAGTGGCTATTTCAGTGGGTCTTATTCAAGCTTTCCATCAAGTCCTGTAAACTTCAGAGCAAATCAAGATTTTTCTGCCTTGAGGACAAGTCCCTACCACTCTGCAATGAGTACTGAAAAAGCCAGATTACTCACTTATCAAATGTGGCCATTGACTTTTCTGTCACCGACAGATCTTGCCAAAGCAGGCTTTTACTATATAGGACCTGGAGACAGAGTAGCTTGCTTTGCCTGCGGTGGAAAACTGAGCAATTGGGAACCAAAGGATGATGCGATGTCAGAACACCGGAGACATTTTCCCAACTGCCCTTTTTTAGGAAATCAGCTTCAAAATACTTCCAGATACACTGTTTCTAATTTAAGTATGCAGACCCATGCAGCCCGCTTCAAAACATTCTTTAACTGGCCTTCAGGTGTTCTAGTTCATCCTGAACAGCTTGCAAGTGCAGGTTTTTATTATGTGGGTAAGAAATTTAATTTGACAATTTAAACAATGCAAAATGTTCTATATATTTTAGTGGACAAATTATATGTATTCATAAGCTTTGGTGACATTAATTTTAGGTCATAGTGACGATGTCAAGTGCTTTTGCTGTGATGGTGGACTGAGGTGTTGGGAACTGGGAGATGATCCATGGGTAGAACATGCCAAGTGGTTTCCAAGGTAATTGTTTTGAAATTCTCTTTGCATACTTTTTTGTCATCATATGGGTTTTCTTTGTTTACCTTATAATCAGCTGTTAGATTATTCTGTCTTTGTTCCAAAGATACATTTGTGAGTAAGTTTAGATCAGGTTACTTAGAAAAATTATAATTTGAAAGATTTTAATGGATTTAAGGTGAAGAAGAAATAGGTTTGGGATATTTTGAATTTTTTAGAAATATATTTAAAATGTCTCTAATTTCTCATTTTTTATGACTGAGTAGTATTCCATTTTATAAAAAACTCACATTTTCTTTATCCAGTCTCCAGTTGATGGGTGATTGGGCTGCTTCCAAGTTTTAGCTATCACAAATTGTGCTGCTATGAACATGGGTGCACATATATCACTGTGGCACAATTCTTTTAATTCTCTGGGGGAAGATACCCAGCAGGAGAATAGCTGGGTCAAATGGGACTTCCAGTCCTAGTTCTTTGAGGTATCTCCATACTGATTGCCACAGTGGTTTAGAAATTAGAGACATTTATAGCTAAATGGATGTACATTGAGGCGATACTCTTAAGTGAAATAAATAGGACACACGTGTAAATACTGAATAGTTTCTCT